GGAAAACAAGACTTTCTGCTGGGGCCTATCTTCCCTGATGTAGGTTCTATCACGCAGGCCGCCACAACTCTGGAAGCATGCAAGAGGTATTCTTAGAGTGCATACATGAGTACTGGCCAGCCTGGGCTTTGAACAGTGGGGCTTTGTATAGCCTAAGCTTGACATTTGGGGCTAATGGCAGCAGCAGCTGCTGCTTCTGCAGACTTCCAACAGCCATTGGTTTCTCTCTTTATGTCTTTGTTTTCCTGAGTACAGCTTCAGATCCCCTGATCTACCCCAGGCCTTTTCCTGGAGCCTCTCTGTATCTTTAGAGGTTTTCTTTCATGGGAGCCAAGCTGCTGCCTCCTCCCTCTTTTTCTCAGATCCTGGGCCTTCTCCTGAATCACTGCATGGTCAACTTTTCTCCAGCACCTCCTGCTGCTGCCTTGTTCTCTTATCTTTCTCCAAGGCCTACAGTAGCATACAGCATATCCTCCTTCCCCCACTGCATTACTTTTAGAAGGCCTGAGCAGCAAGAAAGCTTATAAATCTTTTAGTTTAATCCCCTCATTTTCAGGTATGGAAACTGAGGCCCTGACAGGTGAGGCGAGTGCTCAAGGCCACCAGCTAGTAAGGTTTCTCCTCAACCTGCTGGCCCATGAACACCCTGCCATCTTCAGTTCACCAGTGCCAAACAGCCAATAACATCTCCAGTAGCAGCCCCATTGTTTTTCTGAGCCTGATCGTACCTGCTGCCCCAGGCCCTCTTCCCTCCTCTGGCTGAGTTCTGACTGTCTCAACACTGCTACTGGTTCACAGATTAGACTGAAATAAGGCAGGCAGGCCTCTGGCACTTCTACCAACAGAGAGGACTAGGCCTGTGGGTCTCAGTTTTGTCCAGAGTGTATTCAGGGAGAAGCCAGTCAGCTTGCCATTGAGAGAGGGGTCTTGGGGGTCAGGAAAGGACATGGTTCTGGAAACTTGCAGGAGCCTGACCAGCTCAGACCCTACTTAGCTCAGGAAATCCCTCACCAACACCCCACTCACCAAGCATCTGCCTTCCCCTAGCTGCTGCTTTGACCCTTCTGAGCCTCTAATGCCTCTAAAGCTGCTGAGGCATCTGTCCCCTCAGCATCTCACCTGCTTTTCAGAGGAAGAGGGGCCCAGCTGGGCCTGGATCATGCCTGAGTTGGCCTCTCCTGCAGCCCTCTCCACTGTCCTCAGCCACAGGCAAAGCTCCACCGTCCTGTTAAAGCCACTCAGCCTCTCCCTTCCATCCTTCCAGTAGATGATCCCTGGATAATTTGTGCAGCAAATCCTCTTTCATCTTTAATCTGCGGTACTGCACGAAGGGAGCCTGTCTTTAACCTGCGTCTTCACAGCTCAGGTGGAGGTGGAGAATATCTGACATTCCTCTTTAAGAGGTGTGGTGATCAGTAATGGGCATCAGTCGGCTTCACTTTATGAAAACCTTGCTGAATCTCTGGGGTAACTAATGGTTTCTCTCCAAGTCATGCAGCAACTCCCCCTCCCTTCCAAAGGCATCTCCTTATGGGGATGCCAGGTGGGCCGTTCTTTTTTCTTTGGGAACTGGCTCAAGCCCCCGCGGTACTTCTGGAGCTGAGTAAAGAAGGGCCAGGTGTCCGGTGCAGCCCGGGGACGAGGAGCTGAGGCTCTCCGCTCTGCCCTAGCTGTCTCTCCATACCCTTTGCCTCCGGGGTCAAGGGTTGTGAGGCCGGCCCCCAGGTGGGCACCCTGGCCCGGCTCGCGCCGGCACCCCTAACCGCTGTGGTGCAGGCCCCGCCCCGAGGCCGGTTCGCTCCTCCCCCGCCGCCGGTCCCGTCCCCAACGGTCCGCACTCGGGGAGGCGGGCGGGGGACGGCGTTGCTGCGAGGTCGGCGCGCAGCTTCAGCCGCGGGTCGCTCGGGCGCAGTCCAGGCGGAGCCGGCCCCGCCCGGGCTGCAGCCATGGTAAGGCAGGCGGGTGGGCGCGGGGCAGGGCCGGGGTGAGCAGGACAGGCAGCTCCCGGGCTGCTCCAAGGGGACCCGCGGCACCGCAGTCGCGGCTGTGCGGGATGGGAGGCGCCGTCGCCGGCCCGGGCATAGGCTGGCACTGCTGCCGGGCGGCGCTGCGTCGCGGCTCCCAAGTTTTCACCCCTTAGCAGCCACAGAGTGGGCCCCGACCCCTGGGTGATGCCTGCGGTCTCGAACGAAGGGGTGGGTCCGTGCTGAGGGAGGTGCCCGCCGGCGGAGACGCGCATGTTGGGCTGGGGAAGGCGCGTCAGTGATGAGCTAAGGTGAGGGTCCCCATGCTCGCCTGGGTCAGCTTTTACCTGAGTAACCCCTCCTCACCCACCTACCCTGGGCACCGGGGTCCGTATCAACTTCCTCTGGAAAACACAGAGGAGGCCCATAAACACTGCCTGCCTCCCTAAGAGGGATTGTGAGATGCTTGGCCCCTCCTTCCCTCAGCCTGACAAGGGGCAGTCCCTGAGGCTTTCCCAAAGAGACCCCTGAGAGGAGGCCCAGCCCACCGTCCTGCCCTGTGGGATTAGCTGTATCTCTTTGCCCCCGAGTCAGGAACCAATGGAAAGCTTCCTCCTGCTGCACCTACCTCCTCCCTCTCCACCATCAAGGTCCCTCTGCAGTGTGTGGGGGTGGGGGCACCCATTCCTGCCACCTGCCTCTAGTGGGAAAAGAAGCAGTAACTCCAGCCAGCCTCCCTGGAGGTGCCCAGGTAGGAAGTTTTGATGCTTGGCTTAAGATGTCTTCTCTTCTCCTCTTCTCTCTGCCAGACATTGTTGCCGGAGTCTGTCATAAATAACGTAAGGCTGTCAGGACCTCCAGGCCACACACCATCCTTTCCTCCCAGTCTGGAAGCCCTACAGCCTTTGCCCTCTGCACTGGGGTACAACTGTTTATAGCAGGAGGGGATCCCTGACCAGCCGGTGGGGTGCGATGTTGGCTGTGGGCAGCCTCCAGAAGGGAACTCCCTGGGCCCCTGGGATCACAAGCATTCAGGTCTGGAAGGGCCAACTTTGGGCTCTTGCCTCTCAAGCTGTGTCTAGGCAGCGGCCCAAGCCTTGGCCAGGAAATCTTGGTGACCCTGTGACCTTCCCCAAAGGGGGTTCCTGGGAGAGGCCTGTCCTTATTCCTGTCCCCCACTTCTCCCCACATGGGGGATGGAGGGACTGATTGTTCTAGGGATGGAAGCCTGGGGAAGCCTGATTGTCCCCAGTGCCAAGCCCAGCAGGGGCTAGAGGGGCTTTTTCTGCCACACACTAAGTTCAGTTCAGCTGAGGTCTTGGTGCTTTCAGCTTGTCCAAGGCCACCCTGTTCTTCTCTAATTAAAGACACCCCCCACTCCAACCATCATCACCAAAGTCCCCATCCTCAGGCCCCTGCTCTCAAGCCAGCCAAGTTCTTAGGCTGACTGGTTCAGATCAGACTCTTCTATGAGGGTCTCTTTGTCCAAGGACATCAGTGTCCCAGGAATCAGTGGTGAAGACCTCCCCAACCCAGATGCCCCAGGGAGTTGAAATTTACATGCGAAAAGAATGACAGGTCAACATTAATGACCATTCTGTGACTTGAGATGCACCTTGTCTTCTCAGGTTCAACACACTCACATCTGTGAGTGCTTTCTCTCCCCAGCCTCCCTGGGAGGCAAGGAAGAGCCATTCACAGCTGACCATTAAAGTCCTGAAATTAAGATACTATCCAGACTCATAAAAGATGTTTCCTTCCAACCAGAAACAGTGGCCCCCTGACTCCTAGTTGAGTGCACACTTCTAACCAGGCCTCTTAATTTGTCTCCCACTTAAATGGCAGCTCTGAAGTTTCTGGGCTGCCAGCCTCCCATTGTCTTGAACCCATGCTCCTCAGAGACCAAGTGCTAACATCTCCCCTGTTGACGCTATGGAAGCGATGGAGTGGTGGAATTGATATAGGTTGCTATGAGTAGGAGGTGAGGTGTCCTAGGGTAAGGGGAGTCTCTTGAGCAAAGTCCCCTCTGTGATGGGGCTCCCTGCAGGGAAATCTAGGAGCAGATTTCTAAAGACAGTGAGGTTCCCCACTGGAAAAAAAGAAAGGGACACTTGGGAAGAAGTGTGGGGCCATTCCCACAAAAATCTATATGGGGGATTATAGGGCATCTCGTCCTACTCCAGCACTGCTTAAAGTTAAGGTGAAAGAAAGAGATTGGGGGATTGAAATCCTTTGGGAATGGGTATCCTGGGTGGCTGTCCTCAAGTGCTGATGGGCTGGGTCACTTGGGGACAGCTCATAGTCCTCAGGCAGATCACGGTGTCCTTGGAGGTTAACAGGAGAGGTCAAATGGATCAAGAGCTTGTGCTGCAGGCAGACATTGGGAGGTTGGTGCTGTGCCCACCAGGGTAGGCAGTGGGCAGGCGTCATGGGGCAGCCAATCAGAGGAGGAGGGGACTGCAGAGGAACCAAGTGATCCTGCTGCAGCTGAGCTGTCCTTGGAGGGTGGGAGCCAAGGGAAGGGGAGGAGGGGGTGGGGTGGGGAAGGACATTCCACAGGCTTTTTTGGCCCCTGCCAGAGACAGAAAGGGGTCAAAGAGAAAAGGAAAGGAGCAAGCCAGGAAGCCAGACAACAAGAGCATCAAAACAAGGCTGTTTTTGTGTATGAGGAACTTTGCCTGGGAGATAAAATTAGACCTAGAGCTTGCTGACAGGGAGTCTGAAGCGTGGGACATGGACCATTCACTGGGATGGCAAGGGAATTCTGTCCCTGAGGACAGGACTGAAGCTGGGGTAAGGTGCTGCTCTGGGAGATGGGTGGACCTGACCTGTCTTCTCCCTGCCTTGGATGGGATTGGGGCTGAAAGTCAGAAAATGATTTGGTCACTGGCAGAGCTGGCGGTGGGGATGGACAGGCAGGAGGTGAGGACCCTAGCATCCTGACTCCTAGTCTAGAGCCCCTGTGGCCTCCTCCATGCGGATGAGTGGCCAGGGCTGGCAGAGATGAGGACGGTGCTGGATTCCTGGAGGCTCTGCTGGAAGATTGTGGGGGCTAGGGATCTTCATTAGTGCCTTTCTTTCTCCCTTCCCTGCCTCTCCACTCAGTGTCCCTGAGTGAAACCAGGTGAAGCACAGCTTTCTCTCTCCCACCCTTGTCCTGATCCCCAGACCGACTGCTGGGTTATTGTGGATTTGTGCAGAGAGGCAGGATTTCTTGGAATTCCCCAGACTTATTAGCTGCCAGACAACAAGAGCTGCTGCCCCCAAGTTCCACCCTTTTTCTGTTGCCATATAATTAATTATCTAAGCTGGGACACTTTTGAGAGTGAAAGGGCACAATTAATCATGATGTCAGGACAACAGGCATAAACTGGGATGTATGGTCGCCACTGGACCTCACAAATATCATAGGTAAGAAAAGCCCTGGGTTAGGCTGGTCTCAGGACACCTAGCCTCCACCTGCTGGTTCCAGTTTTGGGTTCCAGTTTTTTCCTCCCCTCTGTCCAGGTGAGCACTACGGCTATAAGCAGCTGTGAGGACTTGAGAGGTGACAGCCTGGAAGTAGCTCCTAGCAGACTTTTTCCTCTAACCTCCCTATCTCAACCTTTTCCCTCTAGCATATACCTGTCAGTGTGCATATCCGCCTCCCTCAAGTCTTCCCTTTGTAGGAAGACTGTGGCCATCTTATCTCCCCAACTCTAGCTGTGACTCCACAGTGGTCTGGGGTAGTCCCCACTAGCTTGGCTAACCCCCAGAGAGTGAGTCAGTTTCTGCAGCTGGCCCTTGTCCATTGTCTGGGGGTGGCACGTGGGTATTGTGAGGCGGAGCTGAACCCAGCACTGCCAGGCACCCCACAAAGGAGGCTGACCCCCAAAGGAGAGGAGAATCTTTAGGGTCTAGAGCTGACCATGAGAGTTGGGGGAAAATGGTCCCTCTTCTGAGCTGGGGATAGGGTAGAACAGGCTTCTACAGAGGAGTCAGACCATTCTCTGCCTACCACCCCCTGTGGGTCATGGTTTAGGCTAGACCCTGCTGGCTGGGAAGAGGGGTAAGGAAACAACTGAGGGTGCTTCCCCTGATATGTCCCTCACAGGTGGGGGCTGTCAGAAGCTCTGGAGGCCCAGCTGTCCTTCAGCCTTCGCCAGGCTCTTTCATCATCCCTTAGCTGGTCCCTCCCAGCTGCCTTCCACCCACAGTCAGCATCCACTGGCAGGTTACTCTTCTCTCCCAGGGCCCAGGGTCAGATTCGGGTGTGGCTCAGTGTCTGAAGTAAGGGGTAGGATCAGCTATATTGAGCGCTGGGCCGTGAACCTTGGGGATTGAGCACTGGCAGTAGAATCTGTACCTCAGTCCCCCAGCTCACTGACCAGTAGTGACAGGAGGCACGGAACCCCCTGCTGGTTGACCTGCCTGGCACAGGCAGCTCTCTTCTCTCCTACCTACTTCCCTCATCCCCTGCCCCATTCTGATGCTCTGTACTCTCCTTTTGGGTCTAATGCCTCTGTCTGCTCTATCGTATTCACTCTGGCCTTACTTCCTGGCCTGAGACAGTCCCTGGCTAGGCCAGAACCCCAGGAAAGGCAGCCTCAAAAAACATGCTGCTGAGAGGGAGACCAGAACTGGAGTTCCTCAGTTCTCAAGAGCAGTTGCCAGGGATTTGGGGGTGCCCAGGGCTCTTCTTGGACCCTGGGGCCCTTCCTGGCATCTTGGATTGGGGAGGCTTGTGAGCAGGTGAGGGAGGGATGGTGAGCACTTGGTCTGGCTTGGCTGTAGTTTCTTTCTCTTCTAACCACAAGTGCTTTCCCTTTCCCTCTTGCCTTCTCCTGTCTTCCGTCTCCTTCCTCATTCTTCCCTTCCCATCACCTCCTACCTACTCCACCCACCCCACTTCCCCCAGATCAAGCGTTTCCTGGAGGACACCACAGATGATGGAGAACTGAGCAAGTTCGTGAAGGATTTCTCAGGAAGCGAGAGCTGCCACCCACCAGAGGCTAAGACCTGGGCATCCAGGCCCCAGGCCCCAGACCTCTATGATGATGACCTGGAGTTCAGACCCCCCTCGTGGCCCCAGTCCTCTGACAGCCAGCAGTACTTCTGTGCCCCAGCCCCTCTCAGCCCATCTGCTAGGCCCCGCAGCCCATGGGGCAAGCTTGATCCCTATGATTCTTCTGAGGTAGAGCCCCCAGCCCTGCCTTTGCCTTTCAGTGGGCTGCTGCAGGAAGACCGGGGTGGTGTGTGTGTGTGTGTGTGTGTGTGTGTGTGTGTCTGGGACCTC